CCAGCTCCACACCAGGACTGGTGTGACACCCCTGAACCCTCCCCAGCCCCACACCAGGACTGGTGTGGCACCAGTTGGCACCCCCAACCCCCCCAAGGCCCCGCACCTGCAGCAGTTGTTGTTCCCACACATGAGGACCTCGCGGCCGCCGCAGCAGATGGTGCAGTAGGACTGGTACCCGTCGTCGTCATACTGGTACGCGCACTCCAGGAAGCAGTTCTGGGGACAATCGGGGTGTCACCACAGCCCTGGGGGCTCCAGGGATCCCACGGACCCCGGGATGGGGCTGGGCACCCCACAAGACCCCCGGGCAGGGGTTGGGGGCCTGGCACCACACTGTACCTTGCAGTTTTGGCACATCCCCCCGATGAACAGAGGGTGCTCCAGGGTCACGTTGAGGCTCCCACAGGAGATGCAGATGTCTGAGGGGGGCAGGAGGAGTGATGTCACCCCCAGCACCCCACACTGGGACAGCCTGGTGTGGGGGGCATCCTGATCCCGAACCCCTGTCACCCCCTGTATGTGCTACCCCATGTCAGGGTCATGCTGGAGCTGGGAACAAACCCTGGGGACAGCAGGAATGGCTCCCATTGTCCTCCCTTTCCCCATCCTGCACCCCAACAGCCCCAGCCCCAGGGAGTGTCCTGGGGTCCCCGCCACCACCCAGGGTGGGCCACCACAATGTCACAGCTGCTGTCCCTGCTGCCAGCCAGGCCAAGGGGTGGGACAAGTTCACACTCAAGCCCTTGGGAGTCCCCTCTGCTCTGCTCTGGGGTGCCCAGGCAGGGAGGCACCCTCAGCCCAACCCACCCCACGGGGTCAGGAGGTGCCCCAGCCCCACACTCACCTTCGATGTTCCTGCACTTCTGCCGGACCTCGTACACCAACCGCTCTGGGGGGAGAGGGGGGTCAGGGAGGGGACCCTGTGGCAGGGGGTGAAGGGAGGGGACCCCCGGGAGCAGCTCCCAGCCCCCCAGCCACCCCCTCCCACTGAACACGGCCAAGCCAAGCCCCGCAGAGGGGGGTGGGCCCAGGAGCACCCCCAGCCCGGTACCTCGTGTGCGCTCGTCGATGATCTCCTTCACCTTGGGCTTCTCCTGGGTTGTGCTTTTGCGGGGTTTTTTGGCGGGCGGGGGCGGGGCGTAGGCGGCGGCCTCAGGCTCGACCCACATCTCCGTGTAAACTTCTTTGTAGGGGTTCCGCTCCTCTGCGGGGCCGGGGGGGCCGTCAGGGGGGTCCCCTCAGCAGGGTCCCGGCCCCACAGCCCAGCCCATCCCGGGGATGTATCCCCCAGAAGCCCCGGGCAGCTCCTCACCCCACAGCCTCCCCCTCACCTTCGGGGGGCTCCAGCCCCTTGGGGCCCGAGGGCTGGAAGCCGCCCAGGGCCCACTCGATCATCTGCTTGTTCTGGATCTCCACCACCTTGGACGTGTCCGTCTCGTCGTTCTCGGGGCACGCAGGGAAGATCTTCCCAGCCCGGCTGCTGGCCACCTGCCCGGGGGGTCCACGTGTCACCCACCCACAGCCCCTCCCAGCTGTTCCTGCACTGCCCAGCCAGGGACCCCCAGCTCCAAAGAGACTGACACAGTAAGAGACCCCCAAGAGAGACCCTCAGCACTGCCAAGAGACCCCCCAAAGGGCAGGACCCCACCCTCATCACCTCACAAGAGACTCCTCCCATCACTGCTCTGAGACCCCCCAAAAGCCAGACCTCCCAAGCACCCCCCACAGGGCTTTCAGCAACTCCCCCAGAGTCCCCTATAATCCTCCCAGCCCCCCGACAGCCCCTTGCCCTGGCTGGCACAAGTGGTTCCCAGACACCCCTAAAACCTCTTTTGGGGGTCCCCCAAATCCCCCACTCTTTTAGGAGACCCCCAGGGTGCCGGAGGGGAGACAGGGCCAGGTCCTGGCAGGGTGTGGAGGCAGCTGCTGCTCCCATGGATGGAGAGCTGTTGTCCCCCAACCCTGGCAGTGCCAGGGGCCAGTGCCCCCCGCGGTGTCCCCCCCGCTGTCCCCGCTCACCTGCAGCACCTCGTAGATGGCCTTGCGGTACATGGGCTGTTTGTTGTAGGTGGCCTGGTGGAAGGCGCTGGCGAAGGAGCTCAGGGGGAGCAGCTTCTCCACACACACCTGGGGACAGGACGCGGCCGTGGGGACACGCGGGGACGCGCGGGGAGGGGACCGTGCCGCCCCCCGGCTCCCCGGGGGCCACTTACCACCGAGAACTTGCCGTCCCCGAACCACATGACCCAGCGGGTGCCCTCGGCCGCGCGGCTCCGGCCCGTCATCCACCAGGACACGATGCGCCCGGGCCACCAGGAGAACCCGCGCAGCTTCCCCCACACCAGCTCCCCGATGCCGAACCCGCGCCCGTCCTGGGGGACACGCGGGGGTCAGGGGGGAGCACACGGGGGTCTGCGCCGCGCTGCCCCCCCGCCCTGCCCAGCCCTGCCCTCACCTCGTACTCGGGCTCGTCGTCGGCGGATTTGGAGGTGTTCTTGTCGCCCGCGTCGGCCACCGCGGGCTCGGGGGTGGTGGCCACGCTGGGCGAGGCGGGGTCGGTGGGCTGCTGGGGGGCGGGCGGGGGGCTCGCCTCCTCCTCCTTCTGCGCCTCGGCCCGCGCCGGCTCCTCCACCACGTTCATCACGGCGATCACCTTCGCCTTCTTCTCCGCCTGCGGGGGGGCAGGTCAGGGCATCGCCCCCGGG